CTCACCTGCACCGCGGCCACCCTCGATGCTGGCGTAGCCGCTGTCCATCTGCAGCAGCCGGCGAGCCTCACCGTCCTTGGGGCGCGGGGGCATGGGCGGTGAGGGTGGCGGGAAGGCGGGCGCCGTGCCCCCTGAGCCAGAGCTGTCACCACTGCGCACCGAGTCGCGGTCATTACCACTGCTGCTGTGGTCTGAGGCGGTAGCTGCATGCAGCTCGAGCGAGGCGCGCAGGCTCCACAGGTCGCGGTAGCTGGCCTGTGCCTGCTCCGTGTCCAGCTCCGGCTGCTCTGGCCCCGACACAGCGCCACGCTCCAGGGGGGACTCGGGGCTCACTCCTCCCGCAGCCTCGGCCGCCTCTAGCCTGCAAGCCAGGCCCCAGTCATCAGAGCCCATCAGCCACCCGCATCTGGGGATGGGGCCGGGAAGGGCTGCAGTGGGTCAGGGGAAACCTCAGGCCTGGGCTGTGCAAATGTTTTGGGGCTTCAGGGGCAAACTGTTCCTCCAAGAGTTAACTAGTGTTCCTTTTTTCTAGTCTCTGCAGGGACATAAGGCCTGGAGGATGGACCAGTCAGTAACTTCACCCACCCATCACGGGGCTGACAGGACCGAGAGAGTGAAGCACAGAAATCAAAGCCACTCACTACAGATAGGAGCGGCCCGAGTCTGGAAGGCACCCTGAGCATTTCCATGCACCCTCCACCCCTCGCAACTCCTGCTGCTTTGGGCACCAGTTTCCGGACAGTTGCTTGGAAGTTGGGGTTGGGAGGGGAAGGTGTTACGGTGGGAGAGGTTATAAGAGATTCTGAGAGGGGACCATCCATCCCTTAGGAGTCTGGGCGGGTAGGAGGGGACTGGGCCCCACTGAGGAGCCCCTCAGGCCTTGGACTCCACCAGGAAGTGGCAGTACTAGGGTGGACACAAGTCCACGGTGGCCCTTCTTGGGGACCCTGGGTCCATCCTCTGGAGCCACACCTGCTCCCCTGCCCTTACCCAGTCTCTCCCTCCCTCCCTCCTCCGGTCCTTGTCGGGGGACGTGTGTGCGTGTCCATGGGGCCAGAAGGGTGCTCCCTGGGCCACATAGTGGGGATGGAGCAGGGCAGGGGCCCACAGGTCCACCCCTAGCACCTCTATCTACTGAAAAATACCTGCCGAGAGCGGGGGGCGGACTGGTGGGGCTGGCCAGAAAGGGGCGGGGGGGTGGGAAGGCCACAGCGTCACCAGCACGGGCGATGTACTGGATGAAGTCTGCGTGGGGGGCGTCCCCCTCATCCTGGTCCATGCTCTCACTGGCTGCCCGCTGCCGCTGGAAGTGGTGGCGTTTGGGGGAACCTGTACAGAGGAAGGTTTGCTGGTCTGCTTTGTTTTTCACACACACACACACACACACATCGCAATGTTCTGGCCCCAGCAGGCAGCTCCCAGAGCATGACAGATGTGTACAAAAGCTCTCAGGGTGTGTGCATGCTGAAGTACCACTGAGGACATTGATGCACAGGGCAGAAAACCAAGACCAAAGAACAAGCTTCAGTTAAAAGACCCAATGGGGGGCCAGGGATTTAGCTCAGTGGCACCATGCCAGCCTCACAAGCAAAAGGTCCTGAGTTCAATCCCTGGTACTGCAAAAAATCAACCAAAAAAAGACCATTGGTACAGCTGAACACAGTGGTGCACACCTGTAATCCCAGCACGCCCAGAGGCTGAAGCAGGACAAAGGCAAATACAAACCTAGCTTGGGGAACTTAATGACTTAGCCAGACTCTGTCTCAAAACTTACAAAACAGAGACTTAGGGGGCCAGGAATGTACGTAGCTCAGTGGTGCTACCTGACAAACACAAGGTCTTGAGTTCCATTTCCAGTACCAAAAAAATAAATACATATATAAATAAATAATTTTTAAAAAACAGGAACTGGGGATGTAGCCCAGTGTGGAGGCCCTGGGTTCATATACCCGGTACTGGGGGAGCAAGGCCTTGGTTAGAAGTAGTGCCCAGAGCAGCCAGGGCAGACCGATGTGGGTTGGAACAAAGGCACCCAGTAGCAGGCACAGCGGAGAAAGTGTGGGAGAGTCAGAGCCACGCTGGTGGGAGTAAGGGAGGTTCTCCCCACCAGGTATCAGGGCTCCATCTGAAAACGTGGGGCTTGTGCTCCACCCAGACCACAGCTTCTCCTCAGTATCCATGGCTGCTTACAGGACAGCAGGCCCAACTGGCCCCAGTCCCTCTGAGCTGCGGCCATTCACTGAGGTCACAAGCAGAACAGTGCCTGCATTCCCCATCCCCATGCACACTTGGTCCTGCCCTGCGCTCAGGACAAAGGAACCCTGTCTGAAAACGTGGGGCTTGTGCTCCACCCAGACCACAGCTTCTCCTCAGTATCCATGGCTGCTTACAGGACAGCAGGCCCAACTGGCCCCAGTCCCTCTGAGCTGCGGCCATTCACTGAGGTCACAAGCAGAACAGTGCCTGCATTCCCCATCCCCATGCACACTTGGTCCTGCCCTGCGCTCAGGACAAAGGAACCCTGTACCCAGCGTTGGCAGGCCACTGCCCAGCAGCCAAACTGGCTCCCAATCTGTCTCTGAATAAAGTTTTATTGGCACACAACCATGCTCCTTCATTTACATCCATATCTGGTTCCATTCTAGCTACAAGAGCAGCACCAAAGAAGTTGTAAGGAGATTGTGTAGCCACAAAATCCAAAACGTCACCGTCCAGTTCTTACAAAAAACATGGGTTCCCCCCAGTCCCTCTCCCTGAGTCTACCAGAAAAACCAAAGCTCATACAGTTAAAACAGACATGGTGGCTAAGGTCACCCTCAGAGGAAATGAGGGAGGGTCACTGCCAGATGGAACAAAATACACCCAGAGGGCATCCAGCTGGGGCACACTAGGGACACAGGGCACCCTGACAACCCTTCCACAGCGAGGCAGGCCCTGAGTCCTCTTGGCCAGCTTGAGGCAGATACCCTACCAGGGCCTAGCTGCCCATGGGGGTGGCAACTGACCTCTTGTGTCCAGACTGGATGCCCGCTGGCTGGGCTCCAGCTTCCATTTCTTGACCTTGAAGTAGGGGCTGGCCCCATCCAGGCTGGCATGGCGGCGCAGGCGGGTGAGGAACTGCAGGACAGTGCCTGCCCCGGAGCCTGCCCCCACTTCCCCAGGCACTGCCGAGGTCCCGGGCCCACCAGCCTTGGCATTCTTGGCACCTGTATCCAACTGGGAGAGGACAGGGACCATTCTCAGGCAGGCATTCCCCTCCCCTGCCCTGAGTGCCAGCCCCAGCTGGGCACCAGGAAGTAGCACCCCCACCCCCACCTGGATGAACCTGCTCAGAGCAGGAGTGGGAGGGGGCTTCTCCCTCTGAGACCTTGCCAGTCTGTGTACAGAGGAGTTTGGGGAAAAGGAGGGCTGTGACTCAGGGTAGGTGCTGGCTGTGTCCCCTGCAGTCACCCAGAACCACACAGAAGAAGCCTGAGGTCTCCTCATACGTGGGGGTGTGTGCCATGTCCCTTAGGCACAAAGCCACAGGCTGAGGACCTTTCTTGGGGTGGGGGCACAGGAGAAAGCCCTTTCTCTGGACACCCCAGGGGGAACAGAGGGAGGCCCTCACCGAAGCACTCTCCCCGGAGTCGCTGGACGCTGAGGGGCTGATCTCTGAGAAGTCAGTGGCGCCAGCAGCTGAGTTGTAGGGGTCACCTGGCAGGGCGGAGCTGGGGCCCACAGAGCGGCCGGTGAGGGCCTTCCCCGGGGGCTGTGGGACAGAGCCAGGCAGGGAAGGAAGCAGTGACAGGTCAAAGAGCATGGGAGGGTGAGGGGGACCCAGCCCTCAACCCACTCAGCCCTGGGGTCCAGCCAGCTGCCACCCCCCCACCCCTCACCTGGAAGATGGCCAGGCTGTCCTTAGGAGTGGTAGCCGGGTGGGGCGTGGCAGCTGAGCTGGCCTCGCCCAAGTCACACTCGTGGATAGTGACTATCTTGAGGGGTGGCAGGTGCAGGTGGGTGAGGCGGGAGTTCTTCAGATGGTGGAAGTCCCCCTCAGTCAGGGTATACCTGCGGAAGGATCCTGGTCAGTGCAACTCAGGGGCCCAGGTGGGGCCCCAAGACATCATCCTCAGGCCCAGCCTTCTTCACAGAGGAGCAGCCCTGAGCCCTGGCCACACACCCTCACCTGCGGCCCTTGTCTTGAGCCTTCCGGCTCTGCTCAAACAGGGCGGCCTCGTTGAAGGAGACCCGGCGGCCAGTGGAACTGGTAGACAGGAAGCGCTCGGTCTCCACATCTTGGCCCTCGGGGTCCTCGCCCCTGAACTCAGGGTCTGCCAGGAGAGCCAAGAGAGGGTGGGCCCCGGGTGGGCCGTGCTCTGTCCTGGGCAGGCCACGGGGATGGGGTGGGGTGGGGTGGGGAGGGTGCAGGGCTGAGTAACCGCAGGACGGAAGGAAGGACGGATGGACGGACGGACGGGGTTTTTGGGGGGTGGGGGTGGGGGGGGTGCAGGGCTGAGTAACCGCAGGACGGAAGGAAGGACGGATGGACGGACGGACGGGGTGGGCTGGGGCAGGCGGGGCGGGCTCTCGGGCACTCGCTCATCCGCTCACACACTCACTCGCTCAGCATGCGCCTGTGCGCACCTACGCCTGGGCGTTAAGCAAACAGAGATGAGTCGGAATCGAGCTGCGCCCAGTCTGGTGGGGGAGACAGACAGACACAGACCGTCAGGCGGCCCGAGGGGGCAGGCGGCAGGCGGGTGGACAGATGGATAGGCAGAGTGGTAGGGCCCAGCAGGCCCCTCACCTTGGGCGGGATGGGTGCCGTTGTCCAGGTAGGTGGTGGTGGTCTTCTCTGCTTCTTCCATGGCCCTAGGGTGCAGGGAAGGGATAGCAGTGAGCAGGCTGAAGACCCAGACAAGCCCCACGTTAGGGTCCCTGGGGGCATGCGCACCTGTTGAAGCGCTGATGGACTTCCCAGCAGCGTTTGCACAGGAGCAGGACCCCCGACAGCACCACCAACGTGCCTCCAATGAAGAGTGACATCACCACCACCAGCAGCACATAGTTGTCCAGGATGGGATCAGGCTGAGCCTGCAGGCACATACAAGGAAGAAAGCGTCAGGGTCCTGCCCCCCTCCCGGACTTCCGGTCCACTCCCACGCCCCATCCTCAGGGGTCACCCACCGTGGGACGGTTGGTGGCATTGTCCCACGATGTTGTCAGGGTAACTGTGGCGGTGGTGGCTGCGGTGGCCATGGTGGCGGTGGGCTGCATCTTAAGGCTGGGGGAGGGGAAAACGGACTGCTCAGCTTCAGCCTCACGGGAGCTACTAGAAATGAGCCCCTCTTGTCCCTGCTGGGAGCAGGAGCCCACACAGGGCGGTGAGTCATGGACAGGAGGAGCAGGGCTCTGCAGCAGCCCCCGACGACCTGCGCAGAGCGTGCACCGGGCTCAGGGAGGTGGGGGCTTCTCCCTGAGGACCTCGGTTTCACCATCTTTGCTCCTGGACAGACGTTATACATGTGTGGGTGTGCGTGCGTGCGGATCACAAATGCCTCCCTGGCCGGTGTGGCCGGCCCAGCAAGGTAGTGGGGCCTGGGAGAAGCCCTGCCCAGGAAAGGGAAAGCCCACCTAGGGAAACCGGGAGCGTGAAACCGGGTAGCACTCAGGCAAGATCCCAGACGCCCTTACGGTGCCTCAGACAGAGGGATTGGCAGCCCCAGTCAGGTGTCCCTGTCCGTGGATGGGACGCAAAGGCACTTGCCGCGGCCGTGCCAGGAACCCCTCCCCACAAGTCACGACTCAGGAGGTGAAGGTCCCTCCGCACCCACGCTGGTGGGAGTGGAAAGGACAAAAGAGGCGCATCTGCTCCTGCCCCGAGAATCTGGTTCCCATGGCGACCGCGCACAGGCCGAGCTGGGGGGCGGGTTGCCAGGCAGAGGGAGGGCGACGGGGAGGG